ATTTGGCCATGTTTCTTTAATGCTAAGGATATCGGTTGCCCTTTCCATTAATCTTTATGGTATGAATGCATCAAGCTAGGGTAAAGGGAAGATAGTATTTTTGTAGAGGAGAAAAACTTGTAGTTGGAAATAAAGATTGTGGAAAGTGCTGCTCACAGCCTTAGTCCACTCAGTGCTCCCATGTTTCAACTCGTATACTGAAGTGAAGACAATGTTTCCCGGGCGCTGTCAGGGGTCCCTTATCAACCCTTCCCTTGGGCAGTGATCAAAGGGTATGCCCAGTCGTGGCAATTTGGATTGCTGAATAAAGTTCTTGACATGGAGTTAGGGAGTTAGTCTCGGGCAAATGTGTCCATATTGTAAATAATGACCTTCTTCAGTGACAATGAGGTAATGAACAGCATATTCTAATTTTGTAGAGACAAGTGTAGGTAAAAAAGTGATGAGAAAGTAGGATACTTATTACTAATAACTCTACTGATTTAAAGTCAGGCCTTGGGTATAGACCTATTCTGTGTGAAGTCACGGGTCGGAGTTGCCATTCCGCTTGGTGAAACCAAACCCATCGCTCGCAGATACCTCATTTATCAGTGAAAATGCCGTATGAATGCTTAGATTCTTTAAAAACCGAAGTGAAAAATCAATATGAATCAAAACTTGAAGCTGTGCAGTTACAGGAATGCTCATACCGTCTGCCTGCCGAAATTGGGATCGACAAACCTACGGAATATTGAATATCCCGACATCGAAGACTATTTGATCAACACACCATGTATTAAAAATGATTTTATGATGACATAATTTGCTACAGTAACCTATAATATTTAGCTATATAGGTTATTTTTCTGTGAAATCAATGCCATTTCCTAACACCAATTTTCTTCCTATTTACAAGGTGTTTACACAAAGGAGACAATGAAGTCACATAAAGGCCTACAAACACAACGCATTTTTCTCTTTCCTCAGTAATTTGAGATATGCCTGCTTACGCTTCAATGGTTTCAACTGCTGGACTGTATGACATTTCAGACACAGAGGCAACAGGAAACTTTGGTTTCTTCTGAATGCTTGGCATCTCCATAGCTAGGCTTCTTTTCACGATCTGGGAATATATGAAAGGTTAAACCTTTCTTTCCCATCATGTTGTGGTTTGAACAACCAACAGCAACACAGCTCCTCAGCATTTTCACAAAAACTAGATTCTTGCAAAATTTCTGCGAATCTGTAAGCAAAGCGCTGTGAGTTTTCGAACGAACAAGGGTTTGTTTTCACCAAGTGCTTGTTGCTAGAGGCGGTTGCTAGGCGTTACCGAATCGGTCTATACTTTGTGACAAAACTACAACCTATAGTGCTTAAATGTAAAGTTAGAAGCAACATATCTCATGTGCACATATATCATAGTTTCTAGTCTAGTTTGTTGACATGACAACACTAATGTTTATATCAATCATCTTTTTGTTTTTGGTAAGTGCACAAAGATTTAATTAGTCATAGGCCTACATACACCAGAAATTATAAATACATATACTATTGCAAATCCACTTTAGAGAGATAAAATATATTTTTTATTCATGACCAAACCAAGACAATAGCCTTAGAAGGAAAACGGATACTGATACTAGTAGTTTTACAAACTTGACCGGCTGCCGGTCAAACAAACACTACCTTCTCATTACTCCCTCTGTCCTGAACTAGAAATTCAATTTGTATGAGAGTACAAATCAAAATACTGAAAAGCTGGAGACATCACAAGTGCATTGAATTTAAGTACATTGGTTACACGGAAAAATCAAAAATAAAATCGAAGGAATATAAAGAAACCAAAGCCGAAAATTAGCTGAAGGATCTCCAACTTCTAAAAAAAAAAACACATATCTAAGTATCAGTGGCTAATGCATTAAGTAAGAACTACTTGTCAAAATTCGAACCAGCGATTTTATGCTATCAAATAACTTACCTGATGTCCTTGAGCGCCTCCAATTTCATGTAAACAGCTCTTTCTCTCTCGTCTGCCATTCCGCCTGACATGTTTGGTAAACAACCGAAGATACAAGCGAGCAACTATCGTCGTGTTATTTATTTATTTTTATTTTTATTTTTTTTTTGTTAATATCTATTTCCTATACATGTTGCATTTGTATATATGTGTTTTTTTTTATATCTGATTGCGTTCCTCTAATCTGCATTACTTAGGTCTATTTGTTGTACTTATCCAGGAAGTCAACTGAGTAGAATTATTTGTATCATCATTATTATTATTATTTTTTTTTTTGTAAAAGAGCAATAGTTTTTAACCTATTTATTCATTGGTATTTGGTTTATATTTTTTATCTTTAATTGATTATTTATATCATGTATATTTGTTGCGCCTAATTATTTTTTTGCTATTTTCCTGCAAAATTCTTTCTTCTATTTCACCATGATATATGATGAATGATTAGGCTTGGTATCCATACAAATATAGTTTATGAAAAGTAAATAGGTGAACAGATTCTTTGCTTTGAATTTTAAAAGATGTATCATGTAGACGAAATAAATATATTAAACTGTCATTCGAGGAATTAAAGTAGCGAGCAATTCTTGTAAAGTGTTCTTATTGTTTGATATAAATTGCAGAAGAAATATTGTGACATAGGAAAAAATAAGTTTAATAAAGAAAAACAATAATCCCTCGATATAATACACGAGAAAATACAAAGTGCTAAATAGAATAGTATCCATGAATGCTCTTTTGACTCATTCCTCCGGCCAGCTGTAAACATCAGTTCCTCCGATCAGGTCACGGGATACGGTAGTCAATACACGATGAAGTCTATTCTCTTGCTTTATTCCCTCTTGGGCCTTATGGCAGCGGCCCAGGCACTTCCAAATGGTATGTCATGACGTTGAGCTTGTTTTGGGGAAGCAAAGATGATCAGGATGTTGAAGGGTTGAGTGTAATCGAGAGAAAACGAATGGGAAGTCGGAACTTGGCAATGGGAAATTAAGAAAAAAATTGCGTAATAATAAGTGCAGCGAAGGGAATTGTGATGGCCGGGACTGCGGTCAATTTCCCTAATTACTCTCCCAGAATTGTCGACGGTGATGAGGCAGTTTCGGTCTCTGTAAAGGGTGGAATTGGTCTTAGGGAAGTCGGGAATATTTTCACTATTGGCAAAGGCATTGATTGTTTGTGCTTGCAGGCGATTTTCACGTAGGCTACAATTTGCGATGCTTTGCTAAATTGTGGTGATACTGTGAAATAATTCAAACTTAATTTAGCCGGTTGTATGCAGTTTTGTTATTTCTCGAATGTAAACAATTCTTTTTATTACAGATTACAAATGAATTGTACTGTTGCAGATTACTGATCAATTTTGCTATTTCAGATTACAGTGTTACAGACCTGGCCACTTATTTGCCTGTTTTAAAATCAGTATTTATTACAGTACCATTTATGATGCTAAAATATTTTCAAGATTAAAACATGATTAGTTTCAAATATTTCCATCTGTAGTTAATAGGAAAATATTGCAAATACAGGATATGTTTAAACATTTAGCATATACTTGAAAATTTTAACTAATTTGGCCATTTATCTTTTTTAGTATAACTTGCAGAGATGGTTTCAGAGAGAAGACATTAAGAATAAGTTAGTTGAGAAAAGAGCATTTCCATTGAGCTGTGAAAGCCTCCAAGAAGGGACATGGAAGAAAATAACAATTCTATTTCTTATTTTTGTATTGAGATTATTTTTGTTGGATGCCGGATATCAAATATTGGGTCTAAGTTTGGGGTATATATATATTTCTAAGGTAAATTTTGAAATCTTTGACAAGAGCCAATTTTGGAGGGTGTTCAAAATTATTTGAGACATCTGAATAAAGTATGATATAGTCTGATAACTCTTAGTTAATAATCTGTCTAGGCCTAATCTTTAGATATTTCTAGAAGCTTTAGATTAGTTAATTGCATAAGATATAATGAGAACTACCAGGTGCATTATACTTCAGCATCTAAACATATTGCAGAACCACACAAATTAAATCTATAGATCTAAACCTGTAGTCCCGGCAGGTGTACACCATTTAAATAGAAGTTGACGAAAGGCAGACATCATCAATATCAGCAGCAACAGCTATGACCTTTATACATCAGAATTTGAAAAAAATAAATATCAGCTGCTTTAAACATTCGACTTCTAAAGTTGGACAGTGCAGTCTTCAACTACCCCGAGAATGCATATGTATGTGCATATTAGATAAGACACATGAGCATAAAGTATTTGAATCAAGAAACCACAACTCATGATAATGCAGATGTCACCATAGTGTATGTGAATCTCACTACCTAAGTAATACAAGATGAAATTTAAAAAAAAAGCATGCAACATCACATGCATCTCTTTCCACACCAGACAAAATTATTTGTCCATTTCCTTGACTGATCTGTTATGATCATGCTTGATATGCTTTAACTAGTGCCCTAAAATGAATATTTCCTACAGTTCCAGTATTAAATAAAGACTTGCTTTCTGCCAGGGGTATCTGATATGTTTGGTATCCAAGTGTGGTAGCTTTTCGAGTACTATCAAGCAAGATCATAGATTAATTGACTTACATGAGGTGATTATCATATGATAGCATAAAAGATGAATCAATTGGTAGATATGAAGGGGAAATTAAGGCTGACAAGGAGCTATTTAAGCCATGTGTTATTCAGACCAGGTACTGATGTGTTGGTAATTTTACATCTTTATACGCGTTTATAGCTAATTTACTTATTACCATGCTGACTGCCATTAGTGCTGATGACTTGTAATGAATCTTTTAGTAGACTTTTGCACCTGGCAGTGATCAAAGAGCAAATATGTAGTGAAGAGTAACATAAAACACAGTCAGTGACTGAGACAAACTGGGACAACCCAAAGTATAGAATGAACACAAAATTATTCAGTGCCAGAGTTTCTTCTGGGCTTTAATTAAAGTTGCTCAAAGGATTTGCCCCAATATCGCTCTTGAGTCGTTGGGCAAAATAGGTGGATGAGTGTTAGGATGAGATGATTATTGTTCATTATGGTGTTCATGAGTTCTTGTGCAGCTTTTCCAGATAAGTCCCTCAGAAAAAATATGTGCATATCCTCAAACTGTACATAGCAATTCTTTGTTTGTGATAAATTAAGTCTTGATGGGTGCCAAGGTAGAGGGAGAGCCACTTAATCATTTAACTAGTCTCGTTAGGCCAGTTGTTTGAAAGAGTATAAGGAAAATCAAACCAGAGCAAGGGCAGGGTATCTGGCTGTGCTGTACAATGCAATCCATTTCCAGTTATTTCCAAATAAAGAAAATAATAAATGATTGTCATTTTTTACTCTGACTTCTCAAAATCAAAGCAAACGGAGCGAGTACAGATGTGGTACGGGTGTACTAAAACTTTTGAAATTATTAATGATTACTAAGCCAAAGGAAAACTAGTATTTTGAAAGGAAAAGACAGGTTTACTTTTTACTTTTTTTTTAATGGCTTTGTTGTTGTCATTGTCATTATTGTTATAACACATAGGCTATTAATTAGATGATTTCTTTTGAAAATTCAGTCAACATGATGAGTAGATGATTTTATTTGCCTCATTTAATTGATTTCTTAAACTTAAAAAAAAAAAAAAAAGAAATCAAAACATATCATGAGTATTTGGAAGGGCCTTATTCACGAGAGTGCTTCAGGCCTTCCTGTTACGGAAGAGACTCCCGGAATAAATGACTTCTTTAGATGCGTCCAAGGCTTTCCGGCAGTCAGCACCTCGAAAGAAATGGAACACATCTACTATTCATGGGATCATTATAGAGTCGCAGACTGCTGGGAGGAAACAATACGTGTGTGTGTGATTGAAGGAGTGGGGTATTTTTGAAAGGTTTCTGCTTGTGTGTTTGTTTCCGTGGATGTCGTTTGTCGTGGAGGAATTTTGTTGTGGTCAGTGATAGGTATTGGTGATTTTGGTGTGGTCAGTTCAGTGTGTTAAACCACGTGTTTCACTCCTTTAAGGTCTGTAGCTTCCATGGTCTTTTTATTCACTAGAACCGTAATTCTTAAAGATGACGTTTAAATTTCTGTACACTCAGTTGATACTGATACACACGCACATGCACACGCACATGAATACACGCGCTCGCGACCACACACACACACACACACACACACACACACACACACACACACACACACACCACACACACACACACACACACACACACACACACACACACACACCACACACACTCACACACACACACCTACACACACACCACCACACACACCTACAAACACACACACACCACACCTACAAACACACACACACCACACCCACACACACACCACACACACACACACACACACACCTACACACACACACCTACACCTACACACACACACCACACACACACTACACCTACACCTACACACCTTACACCTACACCTACACCACACCTACACACACACCTACACCTACAACCTACACCTACACACACACCTACACCTACACACACACACCTACACCTACACACACACCACACCTCACACACACACCTACACTACACACACACCTACACCTACACACACACACCACACCTCACACACACACACACCTACACCTACACCACACACACACCTACACCTACACCACACACACACACACACACCTACACACACACCACACCTACACCACACCACACTACACCTACACCTACACACAACACACCTACACCTACACACACACACCAACACTACACACACACACCTACACCTACACACACACACCTACACCTACACACACACACCTACACCACACACACACCCTACCACACACAACACACCTACACACACACCACACACACACACCTACACCACACACACACACCTACACCTACACACACACACCTACACCTACACACACACACACCTACACACACACACCTACACCTACACACACACACCTACACCTTTACACTACACACACCTACACCTACACACACACACACTACACACACACACCTACACACACACACCTACACCTACACACCACCTACACACACACACCTACACCTACACACACACACCTACACCTACACACACACACCTACACCTACACACACACACCTACACCTACACACACACACACCTACACCTACACACACACCTACACCTACAACACACACCTACACTACACACACACACACACACACACACCTACACTACACACACACACCTACACCACACACACACACCTACACCACACACACACACCTTACAACACACAACCTACACACACACACCTACACCTACAACACACACCTACACTACACACACACCTACACCACACACACCACACTACACCTACACACACACACCACACACCTACACACACACACACACCTACACACACACACACACACCTACACACACCTACACACACACACCACACACACCTTACACACACACACCACACCTACACACACACACCTACACACCTACACACACTCACCACACACCTACACACACACACCGACACCCACACACACACCTACACCTACACACACACAGCCTAACACCACACACACACACACCACACCTACACACACACACACCTACACCTACACACACACACCTACACCTACACAACCCACACTACACACCTACACACACACACCTACACCTACACACACACACGTACACCTACACTACACACACCCTACACCTACACACACACACCTAACACCTACACAACCACACACCTACACCACACACACACACCTACAACCTACACACACCACACCACACACACACACACCAAACACACCACACACACCTACACACACAACACCACCTACCTACACACACACACCTACACCTACACACAACACACACACACCCACCACACCTACACCTACACACACACACCTACACACACCTACACAACACACACCTACCACAACACACACCACACCTACAACCTAACACACACACACTACACAAACACCTACACACACAACACCTACACACACAACACACACACACACCCACACACACACACAGCCTACAACACACCAAACCTACACACACACGCACCCACCACACACACAGCAACGGCACGCCTACACAACACGCACGCCTACACACACACACGCCTACCACACAACACACCTACACACACCACACACCTACACACTACACCTACACACAACACACACACAAACACACACACACACACCACACACCACACACACAAACACACACACACAACACACACACACACACACCACACACACACCACACACACACACATCACACCTACACACATACCACACTACATGCAACATCCACACACATACCAACAACAAAACACACACACACACACACACACACACACACACACACACACACACACACACACACACACACACACACACACACACACACACACACCTACACACACCACACACACACACACACCTACACACACCACAACCTACACACACACACACCTACACACACACCTCACACACCTACACACACACACACCTACACACACACACACCTACACACACAACACCTACAACACACACACACCTACACACACACACACACCTACAACACACACACACACCTACACACACACACACACCTACACACACCTACACACACACACACACACACACACACACACACACACACACACCACACACACACACACACACACACACACACACACACACACACACACACACACACACACTACACACACACACACACACACCACACACCACACACACAACACCTACACACATGCCTACACACATACCCACATACATACCCACATACATGCTTATTCACATACTTACACACATACCTGCACATATACCTGCACATATACCTGCACACGTCTCTACACACATACTTACATGCACACCTACACATATACCTACACACACCTGCACACATACCTACACTCACACCTACACACATACCTACACACACAACAACACACATCTACACAAACATACACAAACCTACACAACTACACAAACATACACAAACCTACACAACTACACAAACCACACACAATGACACACACATGCCTGCACCTACACATACATCTAGACACACCATACATACACTTATACAATGTACAAATTTTGTGCATTGCACATAAATGCGAATGAAATTTTGGGGGCTACTTTGACAGAAAAAAAGTGAAGCAAGACCAATAAATACAGTTGGTAATTATTCTTAGATTCTGCTGGCTACATAGTAAATATCTTCATAAAAAGTGTACTGTATTGTTTGTTTGTTTGCGTAAGTAGGTGCCAAACAAACGTCATTTCATCTTGGTCTCCTCCAAAATCACGGAGCATTCTGGAACGGTTTCTCGTGTTTGTTTAAGGAAACTTTGATAAAGTAAATATGCAGTGCCATTCTAATAAGAGTAATGCGTATGCAATTTGAAGGCGTGCATGTCCAAAAGCATTATCACATTGGTCTTAAAATATGATTGCCAAATGTTTAGTTTATCTTTTATTTTTAATATATGCATTGATAGGAACTAAATTAATTATTGTTTTAAATGAAGAGTAGCAAAACCTTAAATGTATTTTTGGACCATTACCCTGAGAATGCCTGTAGGTGTGCATGCCCTCATTTGCCCTGTTATCATGAGGGTAAAGGCATGAGGCAGCTTTAGAATGTGAAGCTGAACGTAACATCCTGAATTGCAAAACGGGGGTGTTTGGGTTTGATTTCCCTCGTTCACTCGTGCAGCAACTAAATGCGTTGTGTGTCTGTGGTTTTCCTACTCTTTCTTGTGTTTTTGATTACGATGAAACTTGTGCTGCTCTCTCCCTCTCCCTCCTCTCTCTTCTCTCTCTCTCTCTCTCTCTCTCTCTCTCTCTCTCTCTCTCTCTCTCTCTCTCTCTCTCTCTCTCCTCTCTCTCTCTCTCTCTCTCTTCTCTCTCTCTCTCTCTCTCTCTCTCTCCTCTCTCTCTCTCTCTCTCTCTCTCTCTCCTCTCTCTCTCTCTCTCTCTCTCTCTCTCTCTCTCTCTCCTCTCTCTCCTCTCTCTCTCTCTCTCTCTCTCTCTCTCTCTCTCTCCTCTCTCTCTCTCCTCTCTCTCCTCTCTCTCTCCTCTCTCTCTCTCTCTCTCTCCTCTCTCCTCGCTCTCTCTCTCTCTCTCTCTCTCTCTCTTCTCTCTCTCTCTCTCTCTCTCCTCTCTCTCTCTCTCTCTCTCTCTCTCTCTCTCTCTCTCTCTCTCTCTCTCTCTCTCTCTCTCTCTCTCTCTCTCTCCTGTCTCTCTCCTCTGTTCTGTCTCTCTCTCTCTCTCTTCTCTCTCTCTCTCTCTCTCTCTCTCCTCCTCTTCTCTCTCTCTCTCTCTCTCTTCTCTCTCTCTCTGTCTCTCTCTCCTCTCTCATCCCTCTCTCTTCTCCCTCTCTCTCGTCTCTCCCTCTCTCTCTCTCTCTCTCTCTCCTCTCTCTCCTCTCTCCTCTCTCCTCTCTCTCTCCCTCCTTCCCTCTCTCTCTTCTCTCTCTCTCTCTCTCTCTCCCTCTCCTCTCTCTCTCGTCTCTCCCACTCTCCTTCTCTCTCTCCTCTCTCTCCCGCTCCGCCTCGTCTCTCCTCTCTCTCTCTCCCCTCCTCTCTCTCCGTCTCCCTCCTCCTCTCTCTCTCTTTTCCCCCATCTCTCTCTCCCCTCTCCCCCCTTCCACCTCTCCCCCTCTCCTCCTCCCTCCCTCTCTCTCCCTCTCTCCTCCTCTCCTGCTCTCCTTCCCTCTCCGCTGCTCTCTCCCTCCCGCCACGTACTCCATCCCTCATCCTTGTCATCGCCCTCTCTCTCCGCCCTCCGTCTCCCGCATCTCTTCTCTCTTCCTTCTCTCACTCCCGTCCCCAGCACACCCTCGTTTCTCTCTTTCCCCCCTCTATCTCTCCCCTCTTCTCACCCAACGCCCAAATCTAGACAGAAGATCACAATCCCCTCTCCCCCCTCTCTAAACATCTAGAGCTTCCTCTCTCCCTGCTCACGACTCCTCCTCTCTCCTCCCTCTTCTCCTCTCCTCTCCCCCCGTCTCCCATTTCTCCTCGTCTCATCTCTCCTCCTCCGCTCCTCCTTCTCTCCCTCCCCTGCTCTCTCTCTCTCGCTCATTTCTCTCTGGCTCATCTCTTGCTCTCCCCGTCATCGGCTCGCCGCCTCACTCGCCCTGCTCTCTTGCCTCTTCTCTCTGCGTCGCTCTCTCTGCTAGTCTCGGGCTCCTCATCTGCGATCATCATCTCGCGTCTCGCCCGGAGCCCCTCTCCTCCTACTCTCCCCGCTCCTCTCCGTCTTCTCCGTTTCGCCCTTGGCTCTCTCTCCGTCTTCTTCCATCTCTCTCGCTCATCTCGTTTCTCTCTCTCTCCTCTCTCTCTTCTCTTCTCCTCTCTCTCTCTCTCCTCCCTCTACTCCTCCTCCATCTCTTAAATCCTTCTACTCTCCTCTACTTTTCCTCTCTCCTACTCTTCCTCCTCTATTCTCCTTCCCTTCCTCTCCCCTCTCTCTTCCCTCCTCATTTGTTCTTCTCTTCCCTCTCTCCTCATCCCCTCGTCCTCCCTCTCTTTCTTCTCTCTCCTCCCCTCCTCTTCCCTCACCTCCTCGTCCTCTCTCTCTCTATCCCCCTCACTCCATCTGTCTCCCCGTACTCCCTCCCCCTCTCTCTCTTCATATCCCCTCTTCTTCCCCCCCTCTCTTGCATTCTCCTTTTCTCTCTCTCTCTCTCAGCTCCCTCTTCTTCTCTCTCTCCCCCCTCCTTCCTCCTCTCTCTCTCACCCGGGGTCTTTCTTCTCTCTCCCCTCCTCTTCTCTTTCTTCCTCACATATTTACTTCTTCCCCCTCCCTCCTCTCATTCTGACCTCTCTCCACACTCGTCTTCTCACTGTCCCCTACTCTCTCACTCTCCCCTCCTCGTCTCTCGTCCCCGGCTCGCCCCTCAGTCTCAATTCCCTCTCCCCTCTGAAATATCCAGCTTAAGTTATTGAGGGCGGTTTATGCCTCTTGTCCTTTCATCTTGAACTGCTTTCTGTGAAGAACATGTATGGTACAAGTATGACTATAGGGGAGTTAGCTGTAAAGTAAATAAGGATACATGTGTCGTGTTGTGTGTTCTTTCCCCTCCTTTTGTGTGCGTTTGTGAGGGAGGTAGTTGAATGTCTGTTCTGTCTGTTCTGTCGGTTCTGTCTGTCTTCTGTCAGGCTGTCTGTCCGTCAGCATGTCGGGCTGTCTCCTGTCTGTCTGTCTGATTTCTGGTCTGTCTGTCATGCTGTCTGTTTCTTATTTGTATGTATGGACATTATGTCTGCTATGGTACATATAGGTCAAGTACACAGGGGCATCCCGCTTGTCTGCTGACGATAGGAAGAAAGGAAAGGGTCAGTAGGACTTGGCCTGTTGTCAGGTCAGTTCATGACTTTCTTCTGCCAGATTTGATGAAAGGGAGGGGTTTGTTATCCTATC